GCAATTTTAGTTGAGTATATTAGTAGTCAACCCCAGCCATATAGACTATTTGTACTGAAAATGAGCATGAGGAGATTGAAGATGACGATCTTGTAAATGATGATTTTGTTGATTGTGCTGCTACCTTGAGTCTTGCCTGAGTCCTCATCTGAGTCTGAGAGTGAAGCAGTTGCGAGAACCATAGATATTAGAGTAAATGAAACTCCAAATTGCGAGAACACGCCCATTTTGCGGCCGTAAAAGTGGGCGTGGCCAAATCGGCTGCACGCTTCATGCACCCTTTTCTTCTCATAGCCTACCCCTTCCTTTTTTTCTCCCTACGCCCTTGTAGGTGAAGCTTTTATAGACCAGTTTGCTTTAAGTATATTCATAAAATTTTCAGTACCATAATTATAGCTGGAAATTTTGGAGGGAGTTAAGTTTTAAATTTTGGTGATTGGCGCATTTCTGGCCACGTGCCATTGAGCATGCGCATGATGGTTCAAATGGTGAATTTTTAATTTGGTGAATGGCTATTAAAATACCAAATTCAACTGCTTCCAGAATTTCCTCCTAAGTTATAATTCATTACTTGTTCATCTGCTTTATAAATAGCCTGTATTTTATCATTATTTTATTTATTATAGAATAATAGATCATTTCAAAAAGAAGATATATTATTACAAGGAGCTGAAGAAATGGTACATACTGTTTGTTTTACATGTTAGCTAATGATTCATTGTAGAATGAGGAGTTATATGAAGCTGCTAAAAGAGGTGATTCTATTGGTGTCCAGTCTGCACTGTCTCAAGGAGCTAATGTAAACCATCAGAATCCTAAAGAGGTAACTACTGCAATATATGCATACATGTACATGTACAGCATGCTGTTATGTTGATAGCCTGCTGCCCTTGGACATGGGTCAGGTATACATACATGTACATGTACGGTGTACATGCATGTAAGTATATTCTGTGGTGTCATTTCACAATTCACTTGGTACAACGTAGTCAATGTACATGTACATGTACATGTGCATGTAGTACATAATAACACTGATCACTGTAGAAATATTAGCAAGTCATTAGTCATGGCTACTTTTGAGAGTTAATATTATCTGATTGTTCTGGGAGAAAATCTATCAGTTGCAATTTAATATTCTTCCAATATTTTCAGCTGTACTACATGTAGTACAGTACTTTCTGTTTTTGTAATAGACTGACATGTACAAACGTTAATTGTCTTAATTTTGTTACTTGTAGTTTGAAGGTACTTCTCTTCATGTTGCTGTAAGAGGAGGATATCATGATGTTGTACAAATTTTATTGTCTGCAGGAGCTGATGTGAACCTCATAGATACAGTGAGTATACTGGATTGTACTTACTTTAATATGTTAAAATCACATCAGCATAGATCTCTTTTCTTTACACAACGAAATTCATAAAAATTAGTCTTTTGGACAAAGTTTTGGATTATTCATGTTGTCATGGAAACCACTCAAATCACGTGCATTTTTGGATGCCACACCTCTTGACCACGCCCAATCAGCCATTTTGATTGTTTTTCGTAGAGTATCTTTGTGCCTTTCAAGAGCTCTCAGTAGACCTGCAAGTTCTATTCCATTCACTTAAAAGTGCTCCAAAGCACCTAAACTGCTTGCACCTACATACATGTAGATTATAGCTGCTGCATTTACTACAACCAGTTTCATTGCCTTTACACACTCCAATATCATCAGCAAATAGTCAACTTTTTGCAAAAAAAAAATTAAAGAAATAAGTGTTGAATAGCAATTACATCAAAGTGCCGACAGAGCATTCTTTCACTTTTCTATTGTTTCCTATGGTTTCTATTTTACCACTAATATTATTCAATACCAATTTCTGCCAAGAAGGTGTGGTTTCCTCACTTTCCTGTAAAACGCACGTGTTTGCCCTAAAAATAGGCGTGGTAATTGCTTTTTTTATTAATTGTTATTACCTTGTTGTAGTTCTACAACAAATTGTCAGGCAAAGAGTTAATATGTTAAAATCACATCAGCATAGATTGGGTATTTTCCACAGTAGGATATTTTGCCAATTTTAAAAAATAATTTGACAAAGAGACTTTTTGAAATTTATAATTAAGTTGCAAAAATAGTGAAAGATTATCCCATTACACCTTGTGATTTTAAGGTACATGTACATTTACATTTTATGTGCATGTGTGAAGTTAGTCGTATGTATTCATGTACTGTGCATGTACATTTGTACATGTAGTTACACAGCGTATACCAGTTTATTTTTTGCAAATTTCACCTTTTCTTGCTCAGTCGCGAAATTTTTCCACCACAAAATTCTGCATTTTCATTGCCACATGGTGCAGTCTGCAAGTTATAGTACATGTATTCGCAAAAATTAATTCCGTGAAATTTTAGAAATGCAAGATTCGCAAAAATTTTTTGCCTTGAAAATGAACTGATATACAGTATTCTTGTTCAGATTTGACTGAGAACTTTCTCTGTGTAGGCAAATTCATTTTCATAATTCATATTATGTCTTCCTCAATATTCTAGCCCTTTTTAAAAATATTCTCATGTAGAATTAGACCTATTGGTGG